ATCATTTGAGACCAGCCTGGATAATGTAGTCGGACCTTGTCTTTACTAAAAATAAATTTCAAAAAATTAACCTGGCATGATGGCACATACCTGGAGTTCCAGCTACTGGAGAGGCCGAGATGGGGGGAGTACTTGAGCCCAGGAGATGAGCCAGCAGTCAGCTGTGATCTCGCCACTGCACTCCAACCTGGGTGACAGAGCATGAACTTAGCTTTAAAAAAAAAAAAAAAAAAGTTTTAAAACTGAAGGTGCTTTCTTGTTGCTTTTCTCTTGGATTATGGGGAAAGCCACTTTCAGAGTGGAGTTTCAATTTTTTTTCCTTTTCTGTTGTATTTCCCTTTGGTCACCTAGCCTTCAGGAAAATCTGACACTTGGATACTGCCTATGTGTGGTGGCAGAAAGTGGAGAGGCCGGTATAGGACACATACCTGCCCCACATTCACTTATCGTTCCCATGGTAGAGTCCTAGGTTGATCTTAAAGGCAGCTTTGATGATTGACAGATGATTGGCCTAAGTTGTAGGAGAATTAACCAGCTTACCAGGTTAAACATTGGGGTTGCGTATGGGAGGGCTTCAGACTCAAAAATTGATGGAAGTGCCGGCCGGGCATGGTGCTCATGCATGTAATCCCAGCACTTTGAAAGACCGAGAGGCAGGTGGATCACCTGAGGTCAAGAGTTCGAGACTAGCCTGGCCAACATGGTGAAACGCTGTCTGCACTAAAAACACAAAAATTAGCCAGGTGTGGTGGTGTGCGCCTGTAATCCCAGCACTTGGTAGGTTAAAGCAGGAGAATTGCTTGAACCTGGGAGGCGGAGTTGCAGTGAGACGAGATCTTGCCGCTGCACACCAGCCTGGGCAACGGAATGACACTCCGTCTCAAAAAAAAAAAAAATTCTGATAGAAGTTCTGCTTCATTGATCTGGTTAATGTGATCAGGGATAACATAGGATTCAAGCTAATTCTGTCACTTAGCAATTCAGAGCTATGCAGTTAGATAAAGATCTCTGTCCAGCCCTGTGAAATATGAGCAGAGGAGCAGAGACAGGGGTGCGTGGGTGGGTGCGTGGGGGTGTGTGTGTGTGTGTGAGAGAGAGAGAGAGAGGGAGAGAGGAAGAGATAGACAGACAGACAGACAGAGAGAAAGGGTGAAGGTTGTTAGTAGGTTTGTAATTCTTGGTAAAAGGCTGGAGGGGAATCTATTACTTTATTTTTTTACTAGTGTCTCCAAAGGACAGATATAACTTTCCAGATAGCCTTGAAAAATGTGACTGTTATTCTGCAACAAAAAACAAAAACAAACAAAAAACAAAACTCCTCATTTTTCACACTCCCCTGAGGTTCCTGGCAAGAAGCGTGAGATTCTATAGAGAGAGAGCCCGGGTTTTGCCTGTTCAGCTGCCCCTGGTCAGGAGCTTATGTGTGAATCTCCCCAGAAACTCTTCTCCAACCACAGGACACTTCCCTTGACCCTGATTCGTCCACGAGTCCCCAGAGTATTTTGCTACCATCTTTCCAAACAATCCATGCCAATCATTGATTATGATTAGGAGCGTGGCCACGCAGACCCCCTCAGATCACCCTGTCCCTCTTCTGATTGAAGATTTGCCTCAGCATCACTTAGGGGGTACTTTCTGGACTAACAGAAGCCAGAGGGAGAAGGCTGCGCTCCTGCCTCTGCTGCTGACTGGCTGTGAGTTCTGAGGCAGGTCCCTCAGTCTGAGTTTGTTTTTTCACCTGTGAGACAGGGATGATGATAGTGGTGGTGGTGACATTTGGGTTTTTAAATTTTTTTTATTTATTTTGAGACAGAGTTTCCCCTCTGTCACCCAGGCTGGAGTGCAGTGGCATGATCTCAGCTCACTGCCACCTCTGCCATCTGGATTCAAGCGTTTCTTGTGCCTCAGCCTCCCGAGTAGCTGGGATTACAGGTGCACGGCACCACACCTGACTGATTTTTGTATTTTTATACAGTCGGGGTTTTGCCATGTTGGCCAGGCTGGTCTAAACCCCCTGACCTTAAGTGATTCACCTGTCTCAGCCTCCCAAAGTGCCGGGATTACATGCATGAGCCACCACGCCTGGCCTGGTGGTGACATTTGTTATGTTCACCCGTGGAGGTCTTAGGGTTCTCCAACAGTAAGATAGATGTCAGAGCCAAATGTCAACTTGAAATCTGGATGGAAATGTGAGTTCCTGTGGGTATTTCTCATAGTTGACAAACGACTTGATTTTTTCTTTCCCCTTCTCAGCAGTGTACCACATTTGAAAAGAATAAATGGGGCTCCTGGACTTTCAGCTACCTTTGCTTCCAGCAGCTGTCTGCAGATCTACTGCATCTCTGCATGAGCAGGGTTCTCAGCCCCCGCTGCATGGCAGGGGGTGGAGATAGACTCTGAATCCGCTCCCCTCGGTCTCCCAGGCTGGCTTCCTTTCAGGCCCTAGTTGATCCTGGACCAGATCTTATCAATCTTCTCCCCTCCTGCTTTCTCTTCACAGAAGGTGACCCAAAACAAGCAGTCATCATCTCTCCTTATCTGCATGTGGCCGGCCAGGCCATGCGGCAGGTGCTCTGGGCACCAGCTGCCCATCGTTATATAGAGGAGCAAGTTCCTGAAGGGAGTGGCTACTACAGGACAGAACCTGGGACATGCCAAGTATTTGATACCAATTATTATTACTCTTCTTACTGGAGTATAGAGGAGTGACCTGGTTTTGCAAATGTGTTTCCTTTCATTCCTTCAACCTATCAAATGAAACAACTCCTCAGCTCAAAACTCTGATTTCATTGTTCCTAAAAGAATTTAGGGTTGTAGATCTTCCCAGGCTGGCTGTAAATGCTATTTTGGTCTGTGGGAGCTCCAGGACCTGATTGAAAGCAGCCCAGCCCATGAGAAGCTCTGCTGTAGAGGATCAGGCAGCATTGGGACCTTGGGCTTCCAGGGTGCCAAGGTCTCACAAAGCCTGGCCCCTGGGACAGGGCTCCCCCCAAGCCTGAACCTCAGGGGAAGGCTCAGCAGTCACAGCCACCAGTGTTTCAGCTGCCAGCGCTGCTCAGAGGGGAAGTGCTGCTGCTGCTGCCTAGAGGGGCGCAGCCCTGAAGGTTACGGAAGACGTGGGCAGAGAATGTGGAAAATCACCCAGAGATTGCTGCTCACACTTCATGTCTTCAGAGCATCACCTCTCATTTTATAGCTGGAGAGATGGGGCGCACAGCCAGGGAAAGCCAGGAACAGGTTCCAGCTTCCATCACTCAGATACTCAGGAATCCCTGGGTACCCCCCACTGATTCACACTGCTCTGAGCTGTCCATGGCATCGAACCATTTGCCCACTGATGCTTCCTCCCTCCAGGGACGCTGTCGATCTTCAACAAGGGAGGATCCCAGATACTCACCACGGGCATTCATTTTATATAAGTCCCAACTGTGGCCCAGGGGTCGGTCCTTGAACCTTATTCAGATTTACCTATGACTTTATCTGCACTCACATAAGCACTAGGGGGACAAGAAGTTGTTACTCCAGTCCCTCTCTCCAGATGCCTCCATTTTAAAGACTTTGTTCTGTTTGTTAACAGTGTAGATCTACTGACTTTTTGTGTGTCTATTTTAACTCACAAATTCCACAGCCTCCTCCTTGAAGACAAGAATGGCATCTTCTTTGCATCTTGCACCATCCTCACACTTATTGCTCAGGAATATTTGATTATCCAGTTCCATAATTAATCCATCTGTCTTTCCTTGAGCACCTACAATGTGAATTCTAGGTTCTACAGAGAATACAAAAATGAGTAGACATGAATGGAGAGTGGGGCAAAAGAGTGGAGAAAGAGTAATAGCTTACTTCATAAAGTTTGGTAGGTAAGAGGAGAGAGGCTGTGCACAGGGAGGGGAGGTTGTGGTTGAAGATAAATGGAGGTGACTAGGGGGTGGATAATTGATGGAGCAAAGGGTGGTAGAGCCTGGAGGGAAGAAATGGGAACGTGAGCACAGACAGATTGATTCCAGAAAAAAAGAGTCACCTCTTCAGCAAGACTAATGGAAGAGGGAGGGAAGTGAAGGTGGGGAGGGAAAGGAGAACAGAAGGAGATGTGGCTAAATTTGGACACAGATGTGAAAGAGAAAGTGACTCACCGTAATGTCCTCAGGTTTTCACTGTTGAATGAAGGAGGGGACGTAAGCCCCAACATTAACATACCAGAGTTGACAAGGATCCATTGCTGGGATGATTGGGGGTGGCGTATGTGACTCAGAAATGGCCATGTGGCCTGACTGGGGGAGATCAAGGGAAAAGGAGGAGAAAGGAGAGCAAAGCTGGGGAAATAGGAATTATCTCTAGGGCCATCTTTTCTTTCCTCTCCCACTCACACCCCATGTATCAGGATCCTGAATCGGGCCTTCCCCAAGTTCTGAAGTCCTCTCTCCTTCCCTCATGGTGTAATTTGCCGGCTACGTCACTACTTGCTGTTACTGGTTCAGTAGCTGCTCCTGGCTTTGTGTGCTTTCCTCTCTCAAGTACCAGTGTGATATTCTTAGAAGATGGGAGAGGCGCAGTTAGATTTTGGTTCGCATAGTCTGTGACACTTTGTTATGGCAGCCCCAACAAACTAATACAATAATCTTACAGCTACATTTTTAAAAGTATGAGATATTACCTGGGTGTGGTGGCATATGCCTGTAACCCAACTACTCAAGAGGCTGAGGCATGAGAATCTCTTGAACCCAGGAGGCAAAGGTTACAGTGAGCCAAGATCACACCACTGAACTCCAGCTGGGGCCATAGAGAGAGACTCTGTCTCAAAACAATAAATAAATAAATAATAAAATATAAAAATTAAAGTATGAAATATATTTCATCAGCATTTTAAGGATTGTTTGATATGTCAAAAACTGGGTTATAGAGTAGTTTAGACCCTATAAATAAACTAATCATAAATAAATTCAAGAAGAAGATATTTACTTAACAAAAGACAACATTAAACATTTATTCACATTCATCTACTCTTTTCATGAAAAATATTTCTTAAAACAAGGTTTTGTTAACTATGGCAGAGTAGTCATTAATTTCCAGCAACCCTGGCTTCTTCCCCTGTTAGCACATGGGATTAAATTATCCCCTGTGAAGGGACTGGTGTTTTGGGACATGGGACATTGTCTTAACCCAGGCAACTATAACACATATACTGCAGACTGGGTGACTTAGACCAGGGGTCCCCAGTCCTTGGGCCGTGAACTGCTACTGGTCCATGGCCTGTTAAGACCTGGGGTGCTGAGCAGGAGGTGAGCAGCACTCCAGTGAGCCCTGCCTCCTGCCAGATCAGCCGTGGCATCAGATTCTCACAGGAGCGCAAACCCTACTGTGAACTGTCATGTGAGGGATCGAGGTTGTGCGCTCCTTATGAGACTTTAATGCCTCCCACCACCGGCCCGTGGACAAATTGTCCTCCACAAAACGAGTCCCTGGTGTCAAAAAGATTGGGGACCGCTGGCTTAGACAACAGAAATTTTGTTATTTAACTTTTCACAGTTCTCGAGGCTGGAAAGTCCGAGATCAAGGTGCCTGCATCTGGCGTCTAGGGCGGTCCCTATTCCTGGTTTCCAGGTGGGTGTCTTCTTGCTGTGTTCTCACTTGGCAGAGAAAAAAGAGAGAGCAAGCTCTTGTGTCTTTTTATAAGGGCACTAATACCATTCATGAGCCTGCCACCCTCATCATCCAGTTACCTCCCGAAGGCCCTGCCTTCTAATACCATCCTCATAAACCTGCCACCGTCATAACCCAGTCACCTCCCAAAGGCCCTGCCTCCTAATACCATCATATTGGAGGTTAGGATTTCAACATGGAATTTGGGGAGACCACAAACATCCAGTACGTAACAAGTGCCTATAATAGAAATTCCTCTCACACTCTTTGAGTGCACACCATGCAGTGTGCTAGACGTCACTCCCAAATGTCATTCCCTGAATTCTCACAACAGGCCTAGGAGATAGGTAGGTATTCCATGGCACATACAAGAATATCAGAACTTAAAGTGGTTAAATAACGGTCTGCAGTTACAGCACTAATCATTAGGGAGAGTGCTCCCTAGTTCTGATAGAGCAGGTGTAGATCCCAGCTCTGCTGCATCCCTGCTGTGTGACCTTGGCAGGCAGCTCAACTTCTCTCTACCTCAGTTTCTTCATTTGTAAAGCAGAGACATGGTACTATGCACCTCATGGGGTTGTTGAACAGATTAAATGAGATAATATATCTTCTTGGCACAAAGCCTGGCACATATAAAGTCCTCTAATGTTAGCTATTACTATTGCTTTAAGAAATATGGTAAGTACAAGTAATATCAGACACTCTATAGCAGTATTTACAAAGAGCTTTCTGTTTTGTCAGATGAGGAAACCGAGGCTGAGAGAAGTTAAGTGACTCAGTTGGGGCCCCCCAGCCAGTAAGTGGTGGGAAGGGGACTCAACCCAGCCTTTTGGCTCCCAGCGGGGCAGAGCTGCAAACTTCTGACAGCCACTGCACTAGTCAATGTCCTTGAAATAGTCAAAGCTCCTATCTCAGCTTAAAAGTCATGTCTGTGGGCCGGGCGCGGTGGCTCAAGCCTGTAATCCCAGCACTTTGGGAGGCCGACACGGGCGGATCACGAGGTCAGGAGATCGAGACCATCCTGGCTAACACGGTGAAACCCCGTCTCTACTAAAAAAATACAAAAAAAACTAGCCGGGCAAGGTGGCGGGCGCCTGTAGTCCCAGCTACTCGGGAGGCTGAGGCAGGAGAATGGCGGGAACCCGGGAGGCGGAGCTTGCAGTGAGCTGAGATCCGGCCACTGCACTCCAGCCCGGGCGACAGAGCAAGACTTCGTCTCAAAAAAAAAATAAATAAATTAAAAAAAAAAAAAAAAGTCATGTCTGTGTGTGTATGAATTTACTGTGGAGGAGGGAAATGGCTCAGACTCGTATCCTGTTGTGTAAAGTTCTTCTTGCTTTACATCTCTGCTAGTCAGGGTTCTCCAAAGAAACCGAAACAATAGGATGTGTATAGAGAGAGAGAAATTGATTTTAAGGAATTGGCTCATGTGGTGGAGGCTGGTCAGTCCAAAATTTACAGGGTAGGCCAGCAGCTGAAGACCCAGTAAAGAGCTAATGTTGCAGTTGGGGTCTGAAGGCTGTTTGCTAGCAGACTCCTTGCTCAGGAGAGGCTAGGCTTCTGTTCCATTCAGGCCTTCAGATGATTGGTGAGGCTTACCAGATGTTATGGAGGGCCATCTGCTTTACTGAAAGTCAACCAATTTAAATGTCAATGTCATCTAAAAACACCCTCACCTGGAACACCCACAATCATGTTTGACCAAATATCTGGGCACTCTGACCCAGTCAAATTGACATGTAAAATTAACCATCACAATATCTTTGCCCAGCTCCATCAAGAGCTGGCTGAGAGATCTTATGCAAGGTACTGACCTTAACTCCCACTCACCACATGCCCTGGAAAGATGAAAAAGTGCTGTAGGATAAGGTTGAGTCTTTGAACCCAACCCTCCCATCCTTTTTCTTTCAGAAGAAGAATGCTGTTAATGAAGCAATTCACTTTGTTTCATTTTCAGTCAGTCCACTTGTGATATCAGGCTGGTAGGTGAACCTTTGTTTTTTTTTCTTTCCTTATTTCTTTTGATACGGTGGTAATGTTTTACTTTCATATTAACTACAAGCTTGCATGCAACTAAAGGAACCAGGGAGGGAAGCTGTGCTTATAATCTTCTCTTTAATTATGGTACTTGTTTAACATTAGCTAAGCCTAGCTCATTTTTTTAAAGTCAATTTCATCGAGGTAGAACTGCTGATTGCAAAAGTAGGTTTTAAAAACATTCCATATCTGTATAGAAATGGTATAAAACTAAAAATTAAATTCTGTGAAAACTGAAATCGCACCATCTTGAACGTCAGGGAAAGGACATACTTTGTAAACTGGTCTTGGTGGTGTGCCCAAAGTGCAGGGGCAAAATTTAGCCTTTTTTTTTTTTTTTTTTTTTTAAGGCCAGTCAAGTGAAGCAGTGGGAGTGGAGAAGGAATAAAGAAATCTGTAACTGGTTGTGATCAATTAGTTGTAAACACCACTGCACTCAGACCAGCCAAAAATTAGCCTCTTAAGTGTTAAAACTATAAAACAAAAAGCATGAGGCAGCAGATTTGTGAAAGTTTTTAAATTACCTCCAGTAATTTAAATTTAAATAACTTAATTAAATTATTAGGTAAACCTGCCAAGGCCAGTAAGCAGAAATTCTCACCCAGTAACCAATGCAAGTAATAATTCTAATGGAATACTCAGCTGGCCAGATATCTGAAGTGTGGCAATGGAAGGACTCTGGACTCTAATGAATAAACTAACCACCTTTTATTTATATGGCACTCTAAGGTTTTGAAAGGACCTTCATTGATATTAATCTTGTTTATTTCATTCTTACAACCACCTACTGCCATAAGACAGTCAGATCTCTTTCTCCCCATTGAGACCAAGAGGGGTCCAAGGTCATACAGCTGCAAAGTGGCAGGGAACAGAACAGACTGAGATCATCTTTCCTCTGCATCATTAGTCCAAGGTCTTTGTTGGGTGCCTTAGAGTCCAAGGGTGGGTGGAGAAGAATGATGGACAGAATCATGATAGAAGAGAATTATGACCATTCTTGCAATTGGCCCATCTCAAAGAAAAATAGAGGAGTTCATCCAAAATGGTATTGCCATTTCGGGTCATATAAATGTGCAGGCCTGCACATTTACTCCGCAGAATGGGACAACACAGAAGAAAAAAAAAAGAGAGAGAGAGAGGGGAGGAGCACTTTAACAGAATTTAAATATTACTGTCTTTTTTGCGAATAACGACCAAAAAACTCCCCAACCTTGAGGAATGGCAGTGGAGGAGGGCAAGGGAAAGAGTGCCGCTGGGGACAGTTTTCTGCCTCGGAGGAGCGAGTCACACCACCAGAGCTGTGAAAGATGAATCACATCTGTTACATCAGGACTTGGTACAGATTTCCTGGGAAACTTGTCACTGAGGATATAATAGAGATGACTGTTCTTTTGGGGAGATGAGCATTTTCTGGAGGGAATAGTCTAAATCAATTTGGGATTAAGTGGCAAATTAAGATGAAAATTAAACGAGTGTAATATGGCTTTTGTGGGCTGTGTTCACCTCTCCGGGAGGTCAGCATGGTCAAACTATGTAAAAGAGAAAATGTCAGACTTGGTCGCAAAAGTGAAAAGGGATGATATTTTTGATCTCACCTTCCTTGACAGGAGGGGCTCTTTTTAAAATCGAGATGACACCTCTCCATTTACAAGGCACTCCCCTGTGTATCATTTACGCTCTACCAAGCAGATGCATGGTTCCTGTTTTCTAGATGAGATAGCTTAGGGCCACAGCTAAAGGCACACACTGGGCCTGTAGCTCAAAGCCCGTGTCCTCTCCACTCCATCACGAGGCCAACCCACTCAGTCTCTTGTTGGGGGCAGAGAGGCTGATGCAATGAGTTATTGGCTCCTTGTTATGAAGGTAACCAAACATATTGTTCTGCCCAGACACGCGAGAGTCCTGGTCAAACTAAGACAATTGGTCACCCTACTTCTGTGTTTTCATTAGTACTCATAGGAGATTCTACAAGAACCACACTGAATGCTAAGACATTTTAGGACACAGCTATATATGCATGGGATTTGCGTGTGGTTTCATTCTACCCAAACAGTATTTGCCAGCATTTTAAAATTTACTCTTAGTCTCCTAAGATTGCCATTTTGATTTCTTTTCCTTCTTCACTTCTTTATAGTTCCTCACTGTTATTATCTCAGATCACCAAAAAGGGGACAGGGAGAAGGAGTAGAAGCAAGGAAAAATAAGGGAGAGAAATTCACTGGACCCCATTGTTTACAGTGTGGTCTTGGCTCCGGTGCGTCGAGGACCTATGTATAGCAGGAATTCCCAAACCTGAACATGGTTGTGAGGAGCCTCTAAGACAGCCCCCAGGATTCCCACCTCTTGCCATTCATGCTCTTGGGTAATTCTCTTCCCTCTTCCCTTGAGTAGATTTGTCTTCAGGGCTCACTTTTGTGTTTGTGCTTCACCTCCACCCCTCACTTCTCTCTTTCTCTCCCTCTCTCCCCTTCCCTTTCTCCCTGCCCCCATCTCATTTCTAACCCTGGGAAAGGCCAGATGCTGTGCGGTGAGCAGACGTATAGACAGGTCCTTGTGGTGAGGAGCTGATGTTTCCGGGCCCCGAGGTCTGCTGAGGCCCAGTTAGGTGAGCTTGGAAGCAGACCCCGTAGCACCAGCAAAGGCTTGAGATGACAAACATCTTGACTGCAGCGCCATGAAAGACCACGAGCCAGGATCATCAGGCCAAGTCAGTCCCAAAGTCCTCACCCATATAAACTACAAGATGATACATATTGCTGGTTTTCAGCCTTTTTAGGGTAAGTGGTTCAGAAGCAGTAGATAACTAATACAAATGTATATCAGAACCACTTAGATAACAACTTAATAAAATGTGTATTCTGGGCCGCACCCCCAGAGACACTATTCAACAGATGTGGCCTGAGATCTTTGCCTTTTCACCAGGAATCCCAGGAGAATCTGAACTGAACAAATTTCTGCTTGAGAGCACACAGAATAAACTCTCACCTGGGAAGGCCTGGCCAGAGGAAAGACCATAAGGAAGGGAGAATTGCTGGTTAAAAACAAGATGCCCAGTTATATTTAAATTTCAGATAAATAACAAATAATGTTTTAGTCTTAAGTCTACCCCAGGCAGTATGTGGGACATATTTACATAGAAACAGGATTTGCCGATTATCTGAAATTTAGATGTAACTGAGTGTTCTGTATTTCTGTTTGCTAAATACCATCCAGAGGCCCCACAGGAAGTGAAGGCCCAGTGGGAAGTAAAGTGGTGCCTCCCTTTCCCAGATGGCAGGATTTTTTTCCTTCAGGACATGGAGGCCTGGGCTCTTCCTTCCTGTGGGGAGATGGCCTCCAATGGCCTCGAAGTCTTGGTGTCCTTCTCCCTGAGGAGCTGCAGGTTGCCCAGGATGAGTCCTGCCCCTCCCACTTCAAAGACTCCCACCAGATTGAGTCACTCCTGGATGTTCTGGCGGGAGCGTTTTGAGGAATCCCCCACACAGCCCCACCTCGCCTCCAAGAGGCTGGAGACCCCACAGGTGGGCACGGTGTTGGTGGCCAGCACATTGGTGGCCGTGGCCGGTGGGTGAGCAAGGAGACTGGTTCAGTCAGTGGACCTCATGCCTGGTGGGTGCCGCCCATGGCACTGGGAACTTCCTTGCTCCTTTTGGTGCTGTTGGCACAGCCTTTCCAGAGCAGTGAATGAATGCCAGGCTCCTCCCACACCCCTCCAGGAATGCAGACCAACACAGCTGCTCTATTAAATGTGTGCACTTCTTATTCCGAGTATGTCTGAGTCTCTGATGAGCTCTATTTATTGCAGCCCTCAGCCCTGTAAAGAGGAGGATGGTTCCAAAGAGCCCTGAATGCAGGCGGTTTTACAAAATCAGCCTCTCACTTCTTTGTATATACTTTCTTGTCACAGGAACAGCCTTAATTTTGATGTTTATTTTGAACTACGAAATATAAGATGAATGAGAGTATGAGTGTATGTATGTGTGTGTATGAGTGAGAGAGAGAAAGACAGAGAGAGAGATTGGCTGGATAGACTGAAATGCTTAAGGCAGGGATGGAAGATGAAGACTGAGAAAATGTGTGGCTGTGGTAGAATCAGAAACTTTAATATGTGCTTTGAAACCAGACCTGAAAGTGAGGTCACATCACTCTGCTCTTGTTCAGCCTTGCTCAGTGGCCTGATGCAAGCCAAAAACCCACAGGAGGGGAACTCCGCTCAGTCTCTCTCCTGAGAGAAACTCTGGAGGGGTCTGACATTTTGAGAGCAAGGAGGAGGTTTGGAATCAAGTGTACAGAAGCTCTGTTTGTCCTGGAGGCTCTTAAAGGCTCCAGGAGAACTTTTTGGGTGCTGCTTTATATTAATAAAACCAGCATGGCTGAAAGAAAACATATTCAAAAAGTAGAATCTGGTGCCACTGCACATCTTGTACGTCAGGAAGAATCCCATGTTCCTGGACCCCCACCCCTGGTGTAGTGGACTTGGAAGACTGGAGAAGACCATGAAGCTACATTTACAGGGTGTTATAGAGCCAGAAGATACTTTAATAATCTAGGCTAGGGACCAGTGCTGTGGCTTCTGCCTATAATCCTAGCACTTTTAGGGACCAAAGTGGCAGGATTGCTTGAGCCCTGGAATTCAAGACCAGCCTGGACAACATAGCAAGACTCTGTCTCTACAAAAAGTAAAAATTAGCAGGGCAGGTGGTGCAGGCCTGTAGTTACAGTACTCAGGAAGCTGAGGCAGGAGAATCGCTTGAGCTCAGGAAATCGAGGCTGCAGTGAGCACTCCAGCCTGGGTGACAGAACGAGACCCTACCTCTAACAAACAAATACAAGAAATCCAGACCAGGTTCCTGTCTAACGAAGAAGAAGCAAGGCTCCCGCTTTGGCCTTCGGTTTGACTTCTCTGGGCATCTGAAAAATTAGTAGCAACCTCACAGATGTATTGTGAAGATTAAGTGCAATGATGTATATAAAGCCCTTGGCACTTTGCACTCAGTAAGTGGGAGCTGTTATTTCACGGGTTCTGTGTGCTTGAGTGTGTGGTGGTGAGGTTGGGGTGGGCGGGGGGAGCGGTTTCAGCACAGTACAAAAAAGAGCTCAGCTTCCTGAGACAGGGTTCTTATATATTTAGAGTCTTTTTAATTGGAAAGGACAAAATAGGACATTTAATTCAGTCCCTTTGTTTTAGAGCTGAGGAAACTGAGCTCCAGACAAGTGAGGGCTTGCTCAGGATCCCACGACGGCCTCCTGTTCGGGAATCCTGTATCATGCCTACACAGCAGGGAAACTGCTGTGCTTTTAGCCCAGAAACTCCACTGCGAGTCATTTAGGCAGCTGCAGAGGGGAGTTCCCGCACCGCAGACTGAGTGCTTGGCTGGATCTTTTCAGAGACCACCAGCACCGTCACGGTGGGCGCCTGAACTTTTGTAAATCAAAGAAAGTGCTACATAGAATTACATCCAAAGGCAAGTCTGGATTTGAAATTAATGACTGTGGGATTCAGAAATGATTTTGAGATGAAGTGAATAGTTCAAGAAAATTTGCATTGCAGTAGACAGCATTGCTTAGGGAAACTCCTCTGTAGAATCTCAGAGACAAAGATCATGTCTGTTATTTTAATTCATAGCCTCAGGGGGCTTGGAGAGAGGAGGAAGAGTGAGAGTTCTGAAGCTCGTTTTTTTTTGAGACAGTCTCGCTCTGTCACCCAGGCTGGAATGCAATGCTGCGATCTCAGCTCACTGTAACCTCTGCCTCCTAGGTTCGAGTGATTCTCCTGCCTCAACCTCCTAAGTAGCTGGGACTACAGGTATGAGCCACCACGCCCAGCTAGTTTTTCTATTTTTAGTAGAGACAGTGTTTCACCATGTTGACCAGGATGGTCTTGATCTCCTGACCTCGTGATCTGCCCGGCTCAGCCTCCCAAAGTGCTGGGATTACAGGCGTGAGCCACAGCTGTGCAGAAATAGGACTGTTTTCTCTTTCTGAAATAGATTAGCTTTTAGATATATAGCAATGTCTAGCATTGGTCAAGCGCTTGGTATGTATTTTACTTATTTGTTTAATCTTCACAACAACCTTGGGAGATAGGTGCTAGAATTATCCCATTTACAGATAAGAACACTGAGACCAGAGAGTAGCTTATTCATGGTCAAATAGCTAGTAAACGGCAGCATCAGGACCAAATCTCTGATTCTGGCTTCAGAGCCATTCTCTACCCTCTTAAGAGAGTCCAAGTACCAAACCTATGAGACTAAGAACTATTAAACATTCCTGTGCACATTACTATCCCAAGGTTAAGGGTATGGAGCTGAATCCTCTTGGTGCCTAACGCCCTAGTCTGCCCTACCATACTGTTGGTCTGGAAATTCTGCAGAAACGTGGGTGGGATCTTTTATTTTCTAATCTCCAGTGCTCAGCCCTTACTTTATGGCTGCTGGAAGAAAAGCAGGAACTAGCTCTGCTCTTTAGTCCATAAATGGCATAAGGAGGCAGCACCAGGCTTAGTATTAATAGTTTTTTGTTGTTGTTGTTTGTTTTCTTTTTGAGACAGTCTTGCTCTTTCGCCCAGAGCTGGAGTGCAATGGAGCCATCTTGGCTCACTGCAACCTCTGCCTCCCGGGTTCAAGCAATTCTCCTGCCTTAGCCTCCCAAGTAGCTGGGATTACAGGCACGCACCACAATACCCGGCTTTTTTTTGTATTTTTAGTAGAGACAGGGTTTCCCCATGTTGGCCAGGCTAGGCTTGAACTCCTGACTTCAGGTGATCCACCTGCCTCAGGTGATCCACCATGCCTAGTCTGGATGTATATGAATTTGTCATATATTGAAGAATACTTCAGACCAGGTGCAGTGGCTCACACCTGTAATCCCAGCATTATGGGAGACCGAGGCAGGCAGATCACCTGAGGTCAGGAGTTCGAGACCAGCCTGGCCAACATGGTGAAACTCTGTTTGTATTAAAAATATAAAAATTACCCAGGCACGGTGGCAGGTGCCCGTAATCCCAACTATTCGAGAGGCTGCAGTAGAAGAATTGCTTGAACCCAGGATGCAGTGAGGAGAGATCACACCACTGTACTCCAGCCTGGGCGACAGAGCAAGACTCCATCTCAAAAGAAAAAAAAAGAATATTTCTATTGTGTCTCATCTTACAGATAATGCTGAAATGAATATTTACACACATGTGTGTTTTTGTCTTGGACTGATTTCATTGTTATTTATGAAAAAAAATCCTAGAAGTGGAATTGTTAGGTCAAAGAATATTTGTATTCTAAATTTTAATTGATATTTGCACCTGCCACAAAGAGGTTGCACCAGTTTGCTCTCAGTGAGAAGGAATTTTCAATGCTGAGTCTAACCATCCTTGTCATCTGACTAGAGTTTTATATACCTAACATACAGCTTTGCTGTGTGGTATGACAGGTAAATCAGATGATAAATATATTAAACAAATGGACACATTTGTCAAAATGTTTTGAATTGCTTGATGGGAAAGAGTGTGAGAGCCTGATGTATCTCTGGCAATGACACTCTTGTGGCAGAGAAGAATCGGGTGTGGCTTTCATGTCTGGTAACTTGCAAATGGTCACTTGTGCAAGATATTTACCATATTTCACTGGGACCTCCTAACGTCATACTGTTTTGATCTAAACCCAGGTTGGTAAAGAAAATGCATATGATATGAACTTACATACCTCCCTGAATGCTACATCAGAGAAGCATATAGAATTCAACTCTATAAAATCCACCTTCCCCTCTGAAATGTACATCTCAAGGTGTGTGCTCCTGACTCAGGTTAACCTAAACTTACTTGACTTTCTTCATCAAAGCCACCTGAGAATTCAGTAATTCCTTTGCGTTTGTGGCTTTTAAAGATTCCCACCTCAGCTGGAGGGTTTAGTGTGTAGATCATTAACACCTGAGACTTTTGGGCCCCACCTGAAGTTGTACAGTGGTAGAGAAACACAACTGGCTGCAAACGTATCAGCCTGAGCATTTAAAGTTGTTAGCCACAGTAAGCTTTGTAGATTAGCTATGAACTCGTGAGTTCTGTCCTTATCTGTCATTACCAAGGATGGTAAAAAGTCAACTATATTATAAACCTAGTCTGTATCTGGTATGACTTTACGCTCCCCATCTTAACAAGGCGCAGACGAGTAGGTGACACCTAACCTAATGAAAAAATCATTTTTAGATGCTAGAAAATAAATTTCCTGCTGAGTTAGGCCCAGATCATTCTATTAACAAAATGTGCTGAAATATGAAAAAGCATACAGCAGCGGGGCACAGGCAAATTGGAGTAGAAAAGAGTAGACAAAGGGACTAGCAGGCAAGCTGTTATAGCAATTCAGGAAGAAGATGGTGAATGTCTAGACTAAGGTAGTCCTAGCAAAAGCAGAAGGGAGGTAGCCAATCTGAAGAGCCGGGCGTGGTGGCTCACGCCTGTAATCCCAGCACTTTGGGAGGCTGAGGCAGGTGGATCACTTGAGGTCAGGAGTTCGAGACCAGCCTGGCTAACATGGTGAAACCCTGACTCTACTAAAAATACAAAAAAATTAAAAAATAAGTAGTCGGGCATGGTGGTGCACACCTGTAATCCCAGCTACTCGAGAGGCTGAGAGGCAGGAGAATCACTTGAACCTGGGAGGTGGAGGTTTCAGTGAGCCAAGACTGCCCCACTGCACTCCAGCCTGGGCAACAGAGTGAGTGAGACTCCATCTCAAAACAAAAAAGATAAGTAGCAAATTTGGGAGCCACCAAAGGAAGGCTAAATCAGGA